CCTGTATTACTTTATGACTTTTGATTTACTTTTATATGCTTCTGTGTTATCTGGCCTGATATGTGTGCTTCTTGTGTGATAAGTGGTGTAGTATAGAGTTCAGTATGTACTGTATGTCTTTATGTTTATAGTTGTGAGTACGGTACAGTCATGTGACTGGGTATACTGTACAGTTGTGTATGGATATATATGTACTTATGTACTGTGTGTGTATTTCACATCACATGTAGGCCTAGTTCATGTGATTGTTTGCATCACTTCATTTTGCCGTAAAATTTTTTTTAGTTTTAGGATTGCTTTTAATTTAATTGCTTTTCCTTAATGTCCTTTTGAAATTTTGAATTGTCGATTTCTTAGCATAAGTCTTTTTTGTGAACTTTACTGTACATTTTGTTTTGGACGCACCTTGATTGAGAAGTGTGCCACTGATTGAAAAGTGTAGTTCCTAATAAATTATTAATTATTATTATTGGTCTTTTTTAATTGGCGCATAGAGACCATTAATTGATTGATTTCCGGGAAATTCCCGCGAGACTTGGGATCCCTGTAAGTCTGAAGTGTGGAGTGAAGTATTGCCAAAACAAACATTCAGAAAACGAACATCGTTAGCCATGGTTAGCCAAAAGAATACTTTTTATGCCAAGTAATTTTGAATTACATCCCGATACTTATGTAGAGTAGCAAGCAGTGGCGGCACCAGTCCCAGTTCCAACTCTGTCTCTTATACACATCTAGATGTGTATAAGAGACAGGGGTAAGATAAAATTTAGGGGGAAAATATTTTTCCCATAGCAGACCAGCGATACAATTATAATGTAACTTAATGTAATGCTTCTATTCGTGTTCTTGTTTTTTATTTAAATGCTCGGTGTATGTATTACAAATGTAAATAGTGTTAAATGTATTGTTTTCACTGAAGTGGCCAGAAATGAGAGACTAGTGTCGGATCCAGCCCGATAAGATAGAGGGGGAATGAATGTGAGAAGAGTCTCTGAGAAGAGTCCCTGAGAGCCTGGTGCAAATGGCGATTCTCCGTTAAACCTCTTGCACTTTCATGAATTTGAGTTGGTATTTTATTGATTTTTTACTACTTTTTGCATAGTAAGGCCAAAAGAAAACTCACTGGCAGAAAAAAAAGGGTTTTTTTTAGCTTATTTCTTTACAAATGAAAAAAAATGTGTGAATTTATCTTTATTTATTTCTGCTAGATGCCCTACAAATTAGTCTAAAGTTGTCTGATGTCTGATGTAAGATATTGCCATTCTAGGCCTCTGTGGGTTATTTATTCCATAAGTTTCATTAGGCCTAATTTTCTGATAAGCTTCACAGATAATTTTTTAATCTGACCACTGCAGACTTCGGACCGATGGGAGCAATTTGTTGGCCAATCTTAAAATGTTCGTGTTTTGCAGCAAAATTGGTGGGGGATGGGGTTGGGTTATGGGGAGCAAGAAAATTATCAGGGGGAGCAAATTTCCCCTTGTCCTTGCGCCGCTGGATTCAAGAGGGGACTTCTTTACATACGTATGTAATAATGGAGAAAAAACGAAAATTATATTCAAATTTTAAGTCTGAGAGTGAGCACTAATTATATATTTTTAACCTTTTATTTGGGTAATTACATTTTATTTGTGTTTTCATTTTTTGTAATTCTGTTTTATTTAGGTTTTCATCTACTGTAGTAACTCGCGGTTTATTGATTTGATTCATCGGGGGTTTTCGATTGAATGAAAATATTAATAGCGCCACCTGTGGGTGTAATTATTTATTGTTTTTTACAATGGGGAATACCCAATTACTGACGATTAAAAATAACCTGCACAATGACTGAGCTGGGCGAGAGGGTGTGAGCGGAAGGTTCAGTAGGTATCCACTTAAATTATAAGAACAGCCATTAAAATGTGCTCTTTTTCATTATAGGCTACATTTATAAAAAAATATCAGGTGTTTAGACTGTTCATCTCATCATATATTGTTATGCGAACTTGATCAACAAGGTCGCTGCTGATATATTCAGTTTGTATTGTGGCATGGAAGGCCTAGGGTAGGACCTACCATTAATTATATATAGATAGGCCTGTCGCGCCAAAATTGGTCCGGGCTAAAATCGGTCCAGTTTGTATAAGGATCTGTGTTAACAGAGATGTATTTCACAGAATCACAGCTGACTTTATTTAATATGAAAGAAGCTCTTTGGGTTAGTATAAAAATTGGGGAACAGAAAAGGCCGACGTGCAACTTCAATTTTACTGTCCGCAGATATCCCTTACGAAAATGTCCTATAGGAATCCTACAGGATCCTATAGGATTTTAAACATGTTCTAAAGGTTTGCATATTATCCTATAAAACTAAATCAAGTCCTATAGGACTTAATCAAGTCCAATAAAAAACTATCTAAATCCTATAGGACACCAAAAATCCTGTTATATGTGCATATACATAAAGGTTAAGGATCAATATATAATATACATACTAATAATAACATAGTGTTAAGTATACATGCTGTCTCTTATACACATCTAGATGTGTATAAGAGACAGGGCTAGGTGGGATTAGAATAAACAGCCTAGACAAGTAAACAGGAAGGCCAAAACTAAACTTTAGAGGCATGCCTCAATGAATAAGCCAAATGATTTATCCAGAATAATTTGGAATGCCATAGGTTTAATTTAGTGTACTGGGAGAACATTCCTAATATTGAGTCCAAATGGTGTGGTGGTTTTAAGTAAAAGTTCCCAGTGATTCTCTTTATCTTTGCGATTTTTGTCGCTCCAATTGGCATTATGGTCAATTGCAATCACTCTGAAATTTGAAATTGAATGACCAGCTAAATTGAAATGTACGGCTACTGATTGATCAAGCTTAGATGTTCTGATAGCTGATCTGTGTTGTGTCATTCTCATACGGAGAGTGTTTTTTGTTTCTCCGACATATTGTTTACCACAAATATTACAATATATGAGATAAATGACATTTTTGGTGAGGCAATTAATTGATTGCCTTATCCGAAATATGTGGTTTGTTTGGTTGCTCTTGAATGATTGTGTAGAATCAAGCAAGGAGCATGTTTTGCATGATGAACCACAAAGATGACTACCCAAAATATGGCTGTCGCAAGAGTTAATTTGCCTCTTGAATTTAGATCGTACTAATATATCACGAAGGTTAGGTGGTCTGCGATAGGCTATGAACGGTGTATCCGGAAAAACAGACTAAAGACGTTCTGTGGTCTGTAGAATGGGCATATGTTTCTGAATTATAGCGCTTAGTGGTGGTAACCTAGGGTGATAGGTAGTGACCAGTGGCACTCTGGTCGATCGCTGACGTGGTTTGTACGTCAGTGTTTGAGCACATGGTATGTCCTTTGCTTTTTTTACAGCATTTTCGATGGGTCCTCGATGATAATTTCTATTCCGGAGATGTCCGGATAGCTCTTCTGTGCGATTCTGAAAATCTAAATCCGAAGAACAAATGCGTCTCATTAGATGGGGTTTTGCCCCGAATATATATATACTGTCTCTTATACACATCTACAGCTGCTAGGGAGCAGGTACATATGCTTATCCGTGGGTTTACGGAAGAGATCAGTTTTGAGTGCACCATTTTCCATGGTCACGGTGATGTCCAGAAAATCTACACTGCTTGTGGATTTGTTAGCAGTGAATTTGATTGTGGGAACGTATCCAAACTATCTTCACCATGGGTCCAGATCATGAAGATATCATCAATGGAACAAAACCAAACATCTGGTTTCTTGGGCTGTAGGGACAGGAAATTGGCCTCAAATTGTCCCATAAATAAGTTAGCAAAAGATGGAGCCATTTTAGTGCCCATCGCTGTGCCATGATTTTGAAGGTAATGACCGTCGCCGAAAACAAAGTTATTATTGTTCAGAATCAGCATGATAAATTCATGTAGATGTGATTTAGATGGGGTTTTGCCCCGAATTTGTTTGTAATTTGAAATGCAGGAGTCTGTCTCTTATACACATCTAGATGTGTAAATGACGAAACATCAAGTGTAGCCAGAACAGTATTATTAGGTAAATTTGAAATTTGGTTAATTTTGCGGATAAAGTCCGTGGAGTCCTGAATGTACAAGGGGAGAGCAACAACATATGGTCTCAATAATTCATCCACATATTCAGAGATTTTTTCTGTAGCAGTACCGTTGCCCGAAATAATGGGTCTGCCAGGATGGCCTGCTTTGTGGATTTTGGGTAGGACATAGAAACGTCCTGGTGCCGGATCGACCTGGATGAGATGGGGCCCAATTTTGGGATTGATGGAACCTTTTTTAACCATCTTAAATACAGATTTTTCCACTTCCTTAAAAATTTCCGGAGTGGGGTCCTCTGTGAGCTTCCGATAGTGAAGAGGATTGTTTAGTTGTCTTAAGGACTCCTCTTCATAGAATTTAATGTCCATTACGACAGTGGCAGAGCCTTTATCAGCTGGTTTGATGATAATAT